GAGCTTTTCCCAGGGGGTGAACGGAGCTTACAAAGGCCGCAGGTCCAGGAGACCTCCGGTAGACGTAGCGGCGGTCCCGGTCCGGTGTGCCACAGGGTGGACGCCCTCCTTTGCTTAGCTGCCCGCAGTGCCGGCTGCTGGTTACTCCCGTCTGATTCCCTGATGCGATCCAGGGCAGAACAGGCTGGCTCTCTCACCCCAACCTAGCACAACTCCGTGGCCCCATCCAGAGCCCCCTGTGGGACCGAGGAGCGACCGGATCACAGCGCACTCTTCCCACTGTACGGAACTGCTATTCTCCTTCTACAGCCTGATTCCCGAGAGTATTCTCCACTAAGCCGCCCGCATGCAAGTCTCCTTCTCAGAGGCTGCTCTCCAGAGGACCCAACCCAAGAAGACACTAGGGTAAAGAAGGATTTCTTGAGCTACAGAGAGCATTAATGATACATACATTAAGAGCGATAAACGGGACTATGAAAATAGACTCTGTTCATCGAGACACCATTAAAAGTGTAAAAAGACAAATAGGAAGGGGTATTTTCGCATAGATGTAACTGACAAAGGTCTCATACTAGATATTTTACAAATCCACTACCAAGAAGAAAAGAGAAATCCAAAAAAGGAAAATGCACAGAAGGCACACTTCGTGAAAGATATCAAAAATGTTTAAGAAAAATAGGAAAAACTGGCCAATTTCATCTAGAGTAAAGGAAAGGCAAATTAAACCACAATAAGAGTTTATTCTACACTTATAAAATGACATTAATTAAAAAGACACCAAATGTTGATGAGAATGAGGAGCAGAGCCACCCTTATACATTGTTGGAAGAAGTGCAAATTATACGAATACCTTGGAAATTATTTATATTGGCATCATCTCCTAAAATTGAAGATACTGTACTCCACAGGACAGCAGTTCCACTCTTACATGTATATCTTAGCAAAACTCATACATGTGTGCAATAAGACCTGTGTAGGACTCTTTCTAGAAATAGCGTCTGCAAAGCCCCAAACTGGAAGCAATTCAAATGCCCATCAACAGTAAAATGGATATTGACATATTCTTATGATTATAAGCAGTCATACAGCAATAAAAATGGCCAAAGACTGTGATTAATTACATGGGTGAGTTTTACAAGATTATACTTAGAAAAAGAAGCAGAAAAAAATAGGGCAACCAGTGTTTCTATTCATGTGAAGTTCAAAAATTGTATAGAAATGTATGTTACAGTTGTGTAACTCTTAGAAAACTCTTACAAAAAAAAGCAAGAAAAGTCATCACCATAAGACTTAGAAGAGCAATCCCCTCTTGAGGGAGGAAGGCTTTCAGGTTGGGAAGGGCACACACAGAGTTTCTGGGGTCTGGTATGTTCTAATTTTGGATCTTATAGCTAAGGAGCGACAAAAAGCATTTGTTCCACCTTAAGTCCACTGTACTTCAAAATTTTTAAATGTTAAAAAAAGAAAAGGAGGTAGATCAAAAATAAGGGAGTAAGTGACTCAGTAAGTTTCAAAGCCTTAGATTTGACTCAATAAGTTTCAAAGCCTTAGATTTGGGCCTAAAACATCATTTTTGGCCTAAGATCTACCATCTGCTCTCCTTAGCCTAGATCCAATTGGTTGCCAAGCTTTGTACAGCTTCCCTCAATGATGTGTGGCCTTCGGCCAAGTTCCTTCCTTCCTAGGCTCCAGCCAAATTAGTTTCCTCACAGCTACCAACCACGTTCAAGTCTTTGTTTTTTTTTTTTTTTTTTTTTGCCTGATTTATTATAGAAGCCTTCTCACCTGATCTCTTTGCTCCCTGGTATTTTGTTGTTGTTGTTATCCTGCCCAAACTATTTTTTGCAGCTTGATGTGTAGCACTAATTGCCTCTGGAAAGGAATGATATGTGTGTGTGTGTGTGTGTATAAAACAAAATGCAGAGGTCATTTCTTGGTGTTTGATTTTTAAAAGCCAAGGCTTCTGTGGCAGGTGTGTGAGTATGAGGGGATCACAGGTATTGGAAAGAACTCAGGATATACACTGTACTAAAGTAAAAACAAACACCAACTGAATTCTTGACCCTCAGAATCAGCCCACAGAACATTTTACAAAACCATAAATGAGTTGCCATTACCTAAAAATTCATAATTACTTCATAATGTTTTCTGAAAACTGTTAGAAAGTCAGGCCATGATGCACCCTTGCTTGTTCATACAACTGACTGTAGTGGAGAAGGTGCTATCCTTGGACTGGTCAGTGGGGTCTCCAGTTTTGCTGATTCTTGCACTCATGCCTGCTATCAGAATGGGAAAGCAGAACAAAACACAGAAATAGACTTACCTCCTCAGGACACTTATTTGTGCTTGCTGTCTGGTTCCTGGTCTCTTTAGGTGGAGGTTATCGAACCACTCCGACCGACCGCTGACAAAGATTCTTTTGTTTTTGCATAAACCGACTTCAGCAAGAATCCTGATAAGTCAGTTTAGGAACAACTCCTTGTCCTCTATGTATGATCCCTCTCCCTGTCTAATCAGGAACCCTCAACTGCCACCATCGCCCAGGCAATGTCATAGCAAGAATCCTGTTAGATTGATTTAACCAATCAACCAATTTAGCCCTTATCCCTGATGTTTTCTCTCAGCATTTTTCCAGCCACTGACCCCCACCCTGCTCCTTCGCTATAAATTCCCATGCTGTTTTTGGAGTGGGAGCTCAACCTCTCTGCTCCCCCACTCCTGCAAAATCCCATTGCAGTGGTTCTTAGACCTATCACAATAGCACCTGCCCTTGAATCCAGTTCTTTTACCATGCTTTCACAAGTGTCATTGCATTATTCTTTTCCTTTAGCATGTTGCCCCCAGGATATAATAAAAATGCCTGGTATAATGTGAAATAAGGTTCCCTGGGTTGAGAGGAGGGGATTCGATGGGCATTGAAGAGAAAGCGAGGAATATTTAAAGGATGGCAAAATCCTGAGGAGTCCTAAGCCTATCCCCCCCATCCCCTTCCAGCTCAGGGGCAGAACAGACTTGATTTTTCAGACTCTCCCTTACTACTCATCAAGGGTTTGGACTTCACCTTTCCCTTGCCCCAGATACAAAGCCCTTGGCTCACTCTCCAGACTGTGAAACCTGCTTTCAGCTACCAGAATCTCAACAAGGGCCACCCAGGAAAGAATACAGGATCATTTATGACTCCCAATCTACTTCCCAGACCACCACTCCTTCCCCATAACTTGATGTTTCTTGATCTACCTCATAACTGGATTTGCTCATTGCTACTTTAACATTGAACCAGTGTTCTCTCTCTTAAAGCACTTCAGCTTTTCCTTACATTTTAGTTATATGTGTGTGTGTGTGTTTTTTCATCCTCAGTCACTCCACTTAAATCCCTTGTTTCTAAACCATTGTTTCAATCCCTATGCTACCTAGAAAAATGCCCTGCATTTGGTAGGTACACAATAAATATCTGTCAAACTAAATTATTGTCCATTTTCCAAAATATTTACCATTGGTCCTGGATTTGTGTCATTTGCACATCTGGTAACATTCTTGAGTTTTTCTTGAAGTTTTTGATAAATAAGGATTATTAACCCCATGGGCTGATGTTCATAAAAACAGGATTAATTTCTATCAAAACTGAAAAAAGGAGTAAGACCCAAACCCTCACCTGTTGGGACCTTCCCAGATGGAGCTGTAGGGAGGTTATTATAGATTATTGCATCCCTGTATGAAAACATTCTGAGAAGCTTTCAAAAGGAGAAAGTCACATGGATAATTTGTAGGTGTTACTTTTCATTAGTCATCATGAGGTGGGATAATGCACAGAGTGCTTAGTGATACTAAGTATTGGTTCCATCTCAAATTCCCTGAGTCCATAGGCATGAAACACTTTTACAAGAAATTTGGGCTCACTCGGTGTCTTGGGCTCACTCGGTGTCCATCCAAAGATGAATGGATAAAGAAGATGTGGTCTATGTACAATAGAATATTCCTCAGCCATTAGAAACGACAAATACCCACCATTTGCTTTGACGTGGATGGAACTGGAGGGTATTATGCGGAGTGAAATAAGTCAATTGGAGAAGGACAAACATTGTATGGTCTCATTCATTTGGGGAATATAAAAAATAGTGAAAGGGAATAAAGGGAAAAGGAGAAAAAATGAGTGGGAAATATCAGGAAGGGAGACAGAACATGAGAGACTCCTAACTCTGGGAAACGAACTGGGGGGGGGGGAGTGGAAGGAGAGGTGGGTGGGGGGTGGGGGTGACTGGGTGATGGGCACTGAGGGGGACACTTGATGGGATGAGCACTGGGTGTTATTCTGTATGTTGGCCAATTGAACACCAATAAAAAATAAATTTATAAAAAAATAAAAAGAAACTACTAGTAAAATAGAAAAAAAAGAAATTTGGGTTCATTAAGAAATTACTAGTAAAATAGAAAAAAAAAGAAATCTGGGCTCATTTTTTAACAAAAAAATATAAAGAAACTACTAGTAAAATAGGAAAAAAAAAAGAAATTTGGGCTCATTAAGAAAAAAAAACTTTGAAAGCCAGGAGAAGCTGGGCTGGGGACCCTCACACAGCTACATACTACTGTTCTTCCAAGTTGTGTTCCCAACTCCTATCTCCACCTGTTTTGGTGGAATCTAATGGGGCAAAGGTAAGAAGAGGCATTGTTAGCCTTCCTCACTTTGGCCTTTCATAACTGCTTCCACCCTTATCCTCTTGAAGATATGGCTAGATCTTTCCCTGCTACTCTTCTGCTAACTTTGGTGTCAAAAGTGAACAGGATCCCAGGACAGATACTGATTGATGTGACCACATACATAAAAGATGAATTTCAGTTAAAGGGTTACCTCAGCCTGGCATTTGCCTTCTACTAGTTGTTGTGGAATGAGGGCTTGAAAAGAATCTAAGGCATGCCACGTAGAGAAGAATGAATTTTGGCATTAGGACTAAATTTTGCCTTCAGGACTAAGACTGATTCTGAAGTTAAATTCAGTTGAGTACCTTTATTTCATGGTGGCTGACTTGGGCACAGGTAGTTCTAGCCTCTGTTTCATCAGTCCTGGGAAGATGATAAAGGGTTATCAGTTGCATAGCTTGGAAGAGAAAGCCAGGAATCTACTTTATCTGAGATACTCTGTTCTTCTCACTTCTCATCTTCCCCTGCAGCAGTTAAATGTTGTATATTTTTCTTTACTTTAGAGTTTCTAATTTTGTGAGACATACCATTAAGTCCATTTGTTACTTTGCAACTGGTAATATTTCTGATCACAAATGTAGTTGGCATATACATGATCTTCATTTCTCATAGTATTCTTCTCACTTATATTGTCTAATTAGAGTTATGTCTTATCTCCTGAAGTGAATTATAGCTGTTTTTTGGGGAATAACATGACTGATTTTGAATCTCTCTAAACTATAGCATTTAATATTACTAGACACATAGGCTGTATTCTCTAGCATTGTAAGTTTGGGGCAATTTTCTATCTCTCTATACTTCAGTTTTATCATCTATTATAAATGGGGTTAAATGGTAGTACCTTTCATAATGTTTTGAGGATTAAATTAGAAAATACATTACACATTAGGTGCCCCCAAATTTTAGCTGTTGTTGTCATATCCATTTACATCTCTGATGCTCACAAACATAGATAGTCCCTTTTACAAACTCATTAATTTGAAAGCATCAGCTGAATACCCATTACACACTAGATGCTATTCTGGAAATATAGAGCTGAACAAGACATTCTCTCTTTCATAATGAATTTCACAGTCTTGTGGAAGACTGCAGAGAAACAATGATTACAATATAATATGATAAGAGCTACAGTAGAGTCAAGTCAAAGGGGCTATGTGAACACACAAGACAGGCAAGATGTGGCTGGAGAGATGGGATTCTAAGGAGCAGTGTCCTTGAGCTGAGTTGCGAAGGCTTAGTAGAAGTTGGCGAACTGAACAAATCAAGAAAGGGTGTTCTAGATAGAAGGCAGCATGTTCATAGGCATGGAGATGGGGGAGTTGTTCTAGGAACTTTGTTCTAGGCGATTATGTTTGACACACAGAGGGGAGATAGAAGAATGGTGGTAGATTCTGCTGGACAGTCAGGTCTTGACTGAACCATGAGAGCTCAGTGTGCAAAATAAGGAATGTGGACTCTATCCTATAATTGATAGAGAGCCATTGAAATAAATAAGCAGAGGAGTGACATGAACAGATTTGGGGGGGGGTCCAAGGAAGATCCTAACAGCCCCAGTTTATATCATTGATTGGAAGGGACAAAATTGGAAGAACAGCCTAATGATAAATTAGGAACTAAACTAAGGCAGTGACAAAGGAGATGAAGAGGAGGGTGAATTGAGAACATATTTCTGAGATAAACTGAACAGGAATGATTTGGATGTAATGTGGACAAGGTGGGGGGCATGAGGAAGAGGGCAAAATGAAGGAATATATTCGGACTTCTGGCTCAGGGTGGTAGTGTTATTTGCTAGGAGAAGTATTTTGGTGGGGGTGGAAGGGGAGATGGATAACGTAGTTTTGTCATGTTGAGTTAGAGGTATCTGTAAAAGAAAGAATACATACTTGACTGTCCAAGAGAATTATCCAAAGAGCTTGTTAAATGCAGATATTCAGCCTTTACCTCTAAAGATCCAGATCTGGGGACGCCTGAGTGGCTCACTGGTTGAGCGCCTGCGCCTTTGGCTCAGGGCATGATCCTGGATTCCCAGGTTTGAGCCCCACTTTGGGCTCCTTGCATGGAGCCTGTTTCTCCCTCTGCCTGTGTGTCTATGCCTCTCTCTGTGTCTCTCAGGAATAAATAAATACAATCTTAAAAAAAAAAAAAAGATCCAGATTTGGTAGACTAGAGGTGAGGCCCAGGGATCTGTATTTTTTGAAAAGTCCCTAGGTGGTTCTGATGTAGCCAGTCCACAGTTGTATGGGAATATGTAACAACCCCTCACCCCCCACCAAAGAAACAACAACAACAAAAAAGGAAATAGAGATTTCCTGGAAATAGGTGTCTCTGCATGTATGTGGTTGGAGCCAAGATTGTAACTGAGGTCATACACAGACAATGGGCAAAATAAGAAGAGGAAGGGGCCCATAACTCAGACAGTTGTAATTGTTCCAAAAGTGATTTTCCTTTGCATTATCAAGAACAGGGAATTGAAAAAAAAAAAAAAAAGAACAAGGGAATTGGGCAATTACGGTGGAATGTGAGATTGGGATCTTGGTATACGTAGTTTAGTTTTCTTTCTCTGCCTTCCATGCTCTATGCTGCCCCACAGTTATCTTTCAAAAGCACTGATCTTGTGATGCTTTCCCTTTGTTTTGAAATTTCACATAATTCCCCCTTTATACAGAATAAAATTCCAACTCTTCAGCATGGTATTCAAGGTCCTTTATGATCTAGTCTCAACCTGCATTTCCAGAGCCAGCGGCCCCTGCCTCCACCACTAATTCCTTGTGCCAGCCACTGCAGGCTTGGCCTTTGCTGGACAAATCATATACCCTTGTGCCTCTACACTTCCCTTTCTGCCCACAACATCCTGCCTCAGTTCTCCCTCTTTGGCTTCTAATTTATAGTTAGCTTGACAGAGGTCATTCCTATATGAGCACACAAATCTGGTAGCGTTTCTACATCATAGCACTGTTTATTCCGGTAATCATTATGTTTGACTTGCAATGAGGAAAGCAGAAAGATGTTTTTCTTATAAGTAGAAACTATGTTTCAATGGAAGCCCACTCAATCCTGAAGGTCAAATTAACGATTTTCTTTTCTGTATTTTCAGAGAGATAGTTTACAGTTCTAGGATAGCATTTACTGTTATTTTCATTGTTCTACAATTAGCTATTAAAGAGTCTGCTTCCTCTATTTGATTTTTAATCCCTAGGCAGCACAGACACTGTTCTCCTCACATTTGAAGCTCCTAAAGACTAGGTCTTCACACCTGGTAGGTTTTTACCAAGTATTTCTTAGACTAAAGTAGAAAGTCTCAAATATAAATTTCTAAAACCCCACAAGTAATAAATTCAGAAATTTCATGTGCCTCAGTTGATTCTAATAATCAGCATTCAGCTAAATTTCAGCAAAGGAAGAAGAAAGGTCTCATTTTTTAATTCAAGATAATTTTAAATTATAAAGTGGTATAGTTTTAACCTCTGGTTCAATACTCAGGGATGCCAAATAGTACTCCTTGAAGATTACTTTCATTATTATGAAAAGTAAATCAATGAGATCAACACAATTAATTAAACATTATGCTCTAGGAAAGTTAAAAAAAAGAGAGAGAGAAATTTACCAGTTTAGGTTCTGAGTAGGTCCCAAGACCGATGATAGGAATGCTGTTTCCATCACTTAGGGGTATGCGGTGATTTGCAGCACTGAGGTACATCCTGGAGGGAGTTTGGGTTTCAAGTTTTTAGGAGTGATTCTGGATGCCTCTAGAGAAGTCTTTTAGAAAAGATGTTCTAGGGCCTAGTTAATTAAAGAAAGGAGAGCCAGAGGGAGGAGAAGTGGGAGGGAAGAGAGATTAGCAGATGTATTTCTCAATCTGTTTTTTTTTTTTAGGTTGTTTTGAAAATCCTGAGCTTGTCCTTTGAACTTTATCAGAGGCATGTAAATAACATAACCCATTGAGAGTTGATTCTTACTTCTCTACAAAGAGGGAAAACAAAACAAAAAAAGAAGTAAAAAAAAAAAAAAAAAAAAAGTCTAGTTGGTTTCTACCAGTGAGGATGCTTTCATTGCCAAATAACAGGCCGGTCTCAATTTCTCTTAAATTATAAAGGACATTTATTGGTTCATATTTTTGAAAGCTTCAATCTTAGGGCTAGCTTCAGGTGAGACTACAACAGTTTCCCAGGATTTGCCTTTTTTGCCATTATCCACCCCCACCCCCCTGCCCCGGTGTTAAGTTTGGGAAACACTGGGCCAGAGAAATAAGTAATATGGCCAGGAACCAGTTTCTCATCCTCCAGTCCATGTCTCTGTTTCCTTCCCCCCCAGCCGACTTCCCCCTTATTGTTAAAAGATGATGACTGGCCCATGGAGTGATGTGATTCCAGATACAGACTCCAGAAAAAAGAGATTTTTATTTACCTCATTGGTCACACAGCAACCTAGGCATAGTTTTTTCAGTCTGCACTGCCAATCATGATGGTCAAAGGAAATAATAGATTAATCACCTGCAGATAATTAAAAGCCATTTCTAAGTTTAGAGTTAGGGTTAATCTTATCTGGGCAGAATTTGGAGATTGTTAAGGAAAAGGAAAGAAGTAACAAGTAGAGAAACAACTAACCAATGTGTATTATGCTCTTTCTCCAAAGGATTGTGCTGTGTGTAAAATGTGAGCTTTGGACTCTGTGACCTCAAAGATAACCGTGTTCAGGATGGTGAGAATGTGCTGAAGTTTGCCTATAATTCACTTGCTCTCTGGAACCATCATTCTTGCTTACAGATACATAAGCAGCCGGGGGATATAACGATTTCAAGTAGGCTGGGGAGCATGGAACATGGGCCATAGTGGTCTTCAACACTGCAAATTGATCCAACAAATACTTATTGTACACCTTTGTGTGCTAAGATGCTGGCTAGTATATGTTTCTCTATTTTTATTACTTTTGACTTTTTTGGTGTGTAGCTAAATGAACTTGGATATTGAGATTCATGATTTTCATCCAATTTGGGAAGTTTGGGGTATTATTTCTTCAAACATTCTTTTGGTTTCTTCCTCTCCTCTCCTTCTGGGACTCTTGTTTTATATATGTTGGTGTATCAATGGTGTCTCTCATAGGTGTCTTGAGTTTGGTTGGTTTGTTTGTTTATTTATTTATTTTATTTATTTATTTTTCATTCTTTTCTTGAACTGGATGATCTCAATGGATCTATCTTCAAGTTCCTGGATTCTTCTGCAGGCTCAAATCTACAGTTGAAACCCTCCAGTTATTTTTTCATTTCAATGATTATATTTTTAATCTCCAGAATTTCTGTGTGATTCATTTTTATAATTTCTATCTCTTTAGTAATGTTCTGTATCTGGTGAGATGGTGTTTTCCTGGTTCCTTTAGTTCTTTCCCTGTGATTTTATTTAGCTCTTTGAGCATATTTAAGAGAGTTGATCTCATGTCTTTGTCTAGTAAGTCCAATGCCCTGGTGTCCTCACGGACATTCATAATTTCCTTTTTTTCTCCCTGTGAATGAGCCATATTTTCTTGTTTCTTTGCACATTCTGTAATTTTTTAATTTTTTTTTATTTATTTATGATAGTCATACAGAGAGAGAGAGAGAGAGAGGCAGAGACACAGGCAGAGGGAGAAGCAGGCTCCATGCACCGGGAGCCTGATGTGGGATTCGATCCTGGGTCTCCAGGATTGCGCCCTGGGCCAAAGGCAGGCGCCCAACCGCTGCGCCACCCAGGGATCCCATTCTGTAATTTTTTGATTGAAAACTGGAGATTTTGAATATTATAGTGTGACTGTTCTAGAAATCAGATATTTCCTCTTCCTTGGGGTTTGTTTCTGCTGCTTGTTTTTGAGTTGTTATTGTTTGCTTTTTTTATTGACTTCTCTAAACTCTTTTTGGCAAGTCTATACTGTTTGTCATGTGAAAGCTGTGTTTGGCTATCTTAGTGATCATGGTCACTTGGTGTTTTGACAGTTTCCTTTAATGCTTGCCTCAAAAAACCCTACAAATTCTCTTAGTGTTGCAGATTGGCTCCTTTGGGGGCACCACTTTGCTTTCCCACACTGCTTACCATGTTGCCTTAGTCTTTGCTTCCAGCTTGCATAGAGCCTGAAGGCCAGTAAGAGATGAAAGCTGAGGGTGTTCTCAGGCCTTTCTGACCTTTTTCACCAGCCCTGAGAATATGTGTGGCTTTCATGATTAAAGTGTCCCCACCCCCACCATCACGTATCCCCTTTCCCAATTTTTTCTTTCTCAGGCTTTTCAGTCTTTTGGTTGTTCCAACTAAATTCAGGCTGCCAGAGGTAAAATTTCTATCTTTTTTCTTCAAGTTTATTTATTTAAATACTCTCTACGCCCAACACGGGGCTCAAACTCATGACCAAGATCAAGATCCGCATGCTCCACTGACTGAGCCAGCCAGGTACCCCTACAATTTCTATCTTTAAGTACACACAGCAAAAGCCTCCTAGGCAGCTGCCTTTGTCCCATAGGAATGCTTGAGTTAGGCAAAATAAAAGCAAGCCCTTTCGTGTTCCTTCACGGTGCCACCAGACAGGCTGGGACCTACAATGATGATTCTTTGAGAGTAACATCTCCATTGGTTCCTATGGCCCTAGCATCCTGTACCAGGAGTATGGGCTTAGTCCTCATGGCTGCCACAGATCAGGGTTATGGGGGATGGTCAGCAGGTCATTGGAACCACCAAAGCCCTCTCTCTTAATGCAAAGCAGCAGCTTCTTTCTTCACTATGCTTATTCCTGGTTGTTTTAGACTCTTGACTATACTCCAAAGTTCTGCAAAAAATGAGGCTGACAGCTTTACCAACTAATTTTTTTTTTAAATAAAAGGACAGAGCCCTAGAGCTCCTACTCTGCTACTTTCCTCTTTTCCTTTTTTAAAAAGATTTATTTAAATAAGAAGTGGGGGAGGGGCAGGGAGAGAGAAAATCTTAAGCAGACTCCACTCCCAGCATGGAGTTCAACAGGGGGCTCCATCTTATGACCCTGAGATCACCACCTGAGTTGAAACCAAGAATCGGACACTTAGCCCACTGTGCCTCCCAGGTGCCCCTTCTCATTTTTAAAAAATATGTTTAATTTCTGTTTTGAGATTGGATTACTTACTACTGACATCTATTCAGATTCACTAACTCTTTCCTCTGTCTTCTTTCCTCCATTCTGCTACTAAGACCATCCAATGAGTTCTTTTTTCTTAGACTTTATTTTTTAGGGAAGTTTTAGATTCACAGAAAATTTGAATAGTAAGTACAGAGGGTTCCCATCTGCTGCCCTCACACATGCTCTGATTTCTCCCACTACCAACATCCCCCACCAGAGTGGTACATTTGTTACAACTGAGGTAGTTGTTTGACATATTACTATCCACCAAAGTCCATAGTTTACTTTAGGATTCACTGTTAACATTGTACATCTATGAATTTTGAAAGATGTATAATGTCAGGTATCTACTGTACTAGTATCATACAGAATAGTTTGATTGCCCTAAAAATCCTCTGTGTTCTGCTTTATTCATCCCTCTCTCCTTCCTAATCCCTGGCAGCCACGGATCTTATTACTGTCTCCAAAGTGTTTTTTTCAGAATACCATACAGATCTCCAAATTGGCTTCTTTCACTTAGTAATATGCACATAGGCTTGCTCTATGTCTTTTCATGGCTTGGTAGCTTGTTTGCTTTTAGTGGTGAATTATATTCTATTGTCTGGATGTACCACAGTTCTGTCTGCCACTCTCTTGCTCACTTTCTGATTGGTGGGAGGGATACTGAGAGACTCCAGTGGTACATGAGTTCTGCTGTCTCTTTCCACATCTACCTGCTATTATTTATTTTTCAGATTCCTGAAATAACTTTCACATATATATTTCACATTTTGTCACTGTATTCAGTGGGAGAGCCATCTTACCTGGAACTAGAACACTCACATATTTCTTAAAATAATTCTTTTAAAGATTTTATTTATTTATTCATGACACAGAGAGAGAGGCAGAGACATAGGCAGAGGCAGAAGCAGGCTCCCCGCGGGGAGCTCCATGTGAGGCTTGATCCTGGAATCCCAGGATCACACCCTGAGCTGAAGGCAGATGCTCAACCATTGAGCCACCCATGTGTCCCCTTAAAATAATTTTTAATTTATTACACATCTTGATTAAATTGAGGTGAATTTAAATATTGGATTGTTTTTTGAGTGTGAGAAATGGCTGAAATTACTCTTTGTATATTGATATTGTCAAAATAAATTGACAACCTATTTTTATTCAATAAAAGAATTGCTTGTAGATTATTACTCTCTTTTCTGCTCTAAATTCACAAATGATTTTAATGATAATGGAGATTATTTTTGAGTATCTACTATGTCTCTTACATGTAATTTCTCATTTAATTTTCACAACAAATTTATGTGGTATTGGAGCTGTGTAGCATCCTCCCAAAGCTCATGCTCACCCCAAATCTCAGCATGTGACCTTATTTGGAAATGGGGTCATTGAAGATGTAATTAGTTAAAATGAGGCCAGCATGGATTAGGGTGGACTCTAATCCAGTGACTGATGACTTGAGAAAACAGAGATATGGATACATAAGGAAGAGTCTTTTGTGATGACAGAGGTAGAGATTGGAACGATGTATCTACAAACTGAAGAATGCCAAGTATAGCTCTCACATAAGATAGGAAGAGGCAAAGAAACATTCTTTGCCAGAGCCTTCAGAAGGAGTATGGCCCTACTGATACCTTGATTATGGACGTAGAGCTTCCAGAGCTGTGAGAGAAT